ATCACCCCTTTTTACCCAATTTCACTCCAATTTGGTTTTACTTCTAAAATACTTCCTAACTTCTAATACATCCCATATTACCTCTCCCAATGTTTTCCGACCTCCCGAATTCAATGGTAATGTTATTTTGATAAAAAAAATTAAGTTTGACCCAAAAGTCAATCCGTTCGAAACTCAAACTTCATGATTAATATTTCAACAATGATTCTAAGTTTTTATCCTCATTTTATTCATATTTGGAAAACTCTTAAGATATTAGTATTCTTATTTAATTTTAGTACAGGGTCTTACATATACCAAGTACTTTCCTTATTCTATTTAGGCATGTGATCAGCCAATTAAAGGGTTGAATGTCTTTCTTTTTCTCCAAGAGTTTTAGGAAAGTAGGAGATATTTCTTTACCAACAAGTAAGAGATATTTCTTAAATAGAATAGCTATTTTAGGAAGTTTCCTAATCCTTGTAATGACCAGCCTATAAATAGGTGTTCTATCAATGAAATAGGAGAGACAATATAGAATGAATTTTGATTGTGAGTTGAGTTGAGTTTACTCCTCTTGTTCTTGATTGAATTTTTGAACTTATTAAAGGTAAATCACAACCTTTGTGGCGTTTCTCCTTGTAATTTGGGTTTTTGAGAAGGGTTCTTCAATGGGTCTAGATTTTAATATAATCTAGGTTCTTGAAACGAGTTCTCAACGGGTTTAAATTCTCCATCCATAGACCTGAATTTGGCTTTCTTGGGTTGTATTTCCAATATTGTTGTTGGGTCTCAAGCAAGACTATTGGGGTTCACATCATTTGGTATCAAAACAAGGTTTCCAATCAGGTCATATCCTATCATTTTATTTCTTGCATAATAGATTCTAAGGCTTCATTGTTCTGGGGTTACAAAAAAAAAAAATTCATTGTTCAAGGGTTTGAGTTATTGTTAGGGTTTTGTCAATTGTTTATTATCTAGTTTGTGATCAAATCAGTTGGTGGAAAAAAAAACAGAAGAAAAAAAAAGAGTAGAAAAAAAAAAGAAGAGAAAATTCAATTAAGTTGAGTTTACTCCTCTTGTTCTTGATTGAATTTTTGAACTTATCAAAGGTAAATCACAACCTTTGTGGCGTTCCTTCTTGTAATCTGGGTTCTTGAGAAGGGTTCTTCAATGGGTCTAGATTTTAATCTAATCTAGGTTCTTGAAACGAGTTCTCAACAGGTTTAAATTCTCCATCCATAGACCTGAATTTGGCTTTCTTGGGTTGTATTTCTAATATTATTGTTGGGTCTCAAAGCAAGACTATTGGGGTTCACATCATTTGACAAAGAGGGGGCGAAAGAGAAGTGTGTCAATTGGTGTCAGGCTATGAAAGTGGAGAATGAGGAATATATTCGCCATGATGAATCTGTGGCCTTCCTGATAATTTGATGAGAAAAACAGCTGCAAATTTATCAGAGGAATAATTAATTTACCTTGTTAAAATTTGAATGTATTAGTATCTAAGCAAAAGAATAAGTAAACAAAAAGAACCAATAATGTAGGATGTCAGACAGTAATGTACTCATATTGCTCGTTAACAACATATAAGCGAAAATCTCAAAATATCGCAAACTTCAACTATGTAGTCTAGCTTATGCATACCCAATTACATTGCAACTTAAGAATACAATGGTACCTAGATGATTATGTGGTGTCTATATTGTATTAATAGTAACTAACCTTTTTATAGTGGGTTTGTATTTGAAGCATGAGCTCCGTGCACTTACATTGTTATGATATTTCAACTAAATTGTCAATTGCTCTCTCACAATAAAAGTTGTTCATAATCCATCCTCAATTTATCATTGCATGAAGCAACTCACTATGTCTTCGTATATCTGCAATTTTTTTGTGTTTGAGATTAATCACCTAAGTTGATTTACATGTGCTTGCGCGTGAAATATGTTGAATTATCATTTTGATTATTAGTTTATATTGCTGATTTCTAAGTTTATTGGTTTAGGATTCGAAGATTTGATCATATGTCTCCATATTTGATTTATATTGAACAATAACACACAATACATGGAGTTATGTTTCAACTTGTAGGTCTACCCAAACTAAATTCCATTCCTAGAAAAAAGTATGTTTGGTCCTAAATCAGCCACTATATTCTCAAAGTCTGTTTTCAGGTTTATATCCTTATCTAATCCATGATGAAATCATATATTGCACAAGTTTACCATGAGCCAAGCTTTCGTCAATTCGTTGCTACACAATTGGTTTCAAGGAAAGTGTGGGCAACTCTTTCATTTGATTCTTGAGCTATTAAAACACATTGACAAATAAATGTAAAATTTTAAAAATAACAGGAAGCATATAAAATGAAAAAATCTCACCGACCAAACTTGAAAGGGGAACATGATTGTGGGCTAAGCAAAGATTGGCAAAAAAACAGTCCAAACTTAAAAGAGAGACACTTCTCATATATCTTTCTATTAAATTTCATTTATTTAGTTTGAATCAATTCCTTATAGAGTGCATGCAAATGAATAAATACAATTTCTCATTCTTTAAAAAAAGAAATGTCATAATAACAAAAAATAAAAAAGTCAATGTTAAAAACAATAATGTTTAGCATTTGCCATCTTCTCAGTATAAGCACCCAACCTAGTGTCTTTCTTTACGATCAAAAAATCATGAAAAAAGCCAAATTCTATAAGAGGGTCATCCCAAAACCCTCCCCCCTCCCCCCGGGGGTGAGAAGCAAAAATATTGAACTTGGGAAAAACATTAAAATTGCAAATTCACGACTCCCTAGTTGTATAATCATCATCAATATGATAGAAAATAGATCCCAACAACGATTTTAAAGAAAGCAAATTGTCAAACACAAAAGACCCAATCTTAAAATTCATAGAACGCAACCAATTGACATTTTCTGAGATTAGAGAACGAACCGGGGTCTCCATCTTGAAATCTCAAACTAAATCTCTCGAGCTTCATTATCAAGGAAGTACTCTATCGACTCAGCTGGAGTGTCCGGTACAATTGAAGACTAAAAAAATAGCAAAGAACAACAAAATTATAGTCGCATAAACTGTACATATAGATGTGTTGGAACAAAAAATAGCACAATTCTCAATCCAAAGGCATCTAGTCAGAAATCTCGTAATTGGAAGACCTATGATCACCAAAATGAAAAATAGTCGCTACAACCCTATACCTGCATCAATCTTAGCTAGTGCATGTCACAGAATGGTTCTCCATGCCTGCAACAGAAAAACAAAATACCATTGTCCGTCAATTAGAAAATATGAAACCTTAGAGAAAAGATCGAAAAACCAAAAAAAAAAGGCAAGAATACCCAATATTCCCATTCTTCTCATATTGCAAGAAATCCCTGACAGGAAAATAGGCTGCTTGCTTGTAGACGTCAAGTAAATCGCAACCAGTAGAACCCTCACACAAGCTAGCAATGTGGTCAAAGTCAATATTGTCATCTGTTCTCTCATCCTTCAAAATCACTTTTGGTATCTTTGCTCTATCACCTCGATTAGGTTTGCCATTCTCAAATACTTGAGGAAGACGCCTAAGTATTGCCTCATCAAGATCTAACGGATGATTAGTTGCAGCAAGAACCATTATTCGAGCATTCTCTGTGTACAAAGTGAAAAACTTAATTTGTCAATTTCATCACCAAATTCCTCAGCCAAATTATTCAACTAATAACAATCAATACAAATAATCTATTAAAAGGTGGTCTACTCACTAACAAACAAAAAAAGATCTAGCATTTGGAAGTTGTTTGTTCGTTTAGCAGGTTGCCAATGCAAGAATACTCACAATTTGTGGTAAAACCATCCCATAAAGCCATAAACTCAGCTTTCATTCTCCGTTGCATGCCGTTGTCCCAAAAAACTGTTAACCTCGTTAATGAATATAATAGAAGGCTGGAGTTTGTAAGCTAAACTAAAACAGCTGTCACTGCAAAAATTCAAATATCTTCGATAATCTAACAAATAGACCCATGGCTTTAGCCTAGCAAATAGACAAGTTAAACTTATTGAAAAGTAGAACAGTTAAGTCTACGATTATATGAATATACACTCAAATTGGATTTGGATGGGTTTCATGTGCATCTAATCAGAATATCATCCTTTTATGTTTACAGAAAGAAAGCCCTAGATGGCTAGATTTAGTAAACTTTTTTCTCAAAAAGCATTTAGATCTCAGGTTACAAGCAAAGGACGGGAATTCAATCCAAGGTAAACAAAAACCTTACAATACCCACAAGAAAGGAAGAAAGTGCACAAATCCAAAAATAAATGCAACTCCTACCCCCAAAAAAATCAGGATGAAGAAAAACTCATCAATATAAACCGTAGTCTTGGAACCTCTAGAGACAGAAGGAGAGGGGGAAGGTGAAGAGAAGGGGCATGACTGTTTGTTCTCGGCCAATTTTGTGAATAACAGAGAGAAGAGAGAGAGAGAGTAATGGCTGACAGAGAGTAAACAGGGGAGAGAGAGATGTAATTGGTTTAGTGCGCCGAATTATGGATAAACAGGGGAGAGAGACGACTGAACAATAGAGGGGAGAGAGGGTAACACCTGAGAATCGGAAAGATTTTGGGCCGAGGTGATTTAGGTTTATTACGGTATTAAACATGGAGGATAAGTATGACTTATTTGTATTGTTGAGGGTAAAAATAGAAATAAAATTTTTTTAAGGTATACACACTCTTTAGAGTAGTATAGATACATATATATATAGATCGATTAACTTGTGTTAATAAATTTTTAACCAAATAGCAAGTGGATTTGTAAAGGAAATAGCCAGATTTTTATATCAAATGCCACTAAACTGCCAAGTAAAATGCACAATTATGTTGTTATGTTAGGAGTGGCGTCGCACATGTCGCTCTCCACCTCATCATCTTCCTTATGCAAAAACACTTCAAACATTAGTGTGATGCAATCGATCAACATTAGTGTGATTCATCCAATCTATTTTAATTATTGTGTATGTGATAATTTAAATAATTTCTCACAGAATTACACCTCACCAAAATTATTCACTGCTTGACCAATTTGTTGTTTTACCAAGTTAGTAGTAATGAATTTATTCTTTTTAATTCATATTACAAATTTATTGCGTAATTTCTTTAAATATTTGTTATGTTTAATTATTGTTTGTTTTAGTTGTGAATGCTTTGACATGATTTTATTATTATTAAATGTTATGTGTTAAATTTGTATTACTATTTTCTGATTGTAAACCAAAACCCAAGCTAATCACCAATAAAAAAAAAGTGATACCAATTATACCAAAAAAAATAATATTCAAAATCAATGTAATCGTCATCACCACTTCCACACAAATAAAAAGTATTAATATACAATCCATAAATAAAATCATAAAGTTATTATTCATACCAAAATTAAATCACTACTGCATGAAAATCTGTAGTCCTCAAAAAAGAAAAAAAAAAGTGACCAATAAAAAATAACAACTATTACCAATTACACAAAAAAAAAAAAAATCAAAACCAATCTAATCGTCATCACCACTTTCACACAAACAAAAAGTACAAATATCTAATCCATAAGTAAAACCTTCGAACAATTATTCATACCTAATCACCACTTTGCTCAGAATTACATGAAAACCTAAAGTTCTAAAAAATTTAATTTTTATTGAAAGTGAACAAAACATATTGTTGATTGTCATAAATGATTAGTTAAAAAAATATTTATTACAAATTTTGTTAATGACAAAGTATCTCATTATTTCATGTTGATTATTTTTTATGTTTAATTTTTATAATTAGGTAGTTATCGAATATTTTATGTTTAATTTTTATAACTGTGCAGTTAACAAATGTTTAACATTTATGCGTGTTTACAAATATTGATGATTTTTTCGTGTTGGTTTAGTGGTGTATGCTTTGGCAATAGTTTATTGTTTTCAATTTTTAATGTTCGTGTGGTTTAGTTGTGGATGTATTGTCATAACTGGTTGTTGGTAAATGTTATATGTTAAAAGTGTATTGTTTGTACCTTGATTTAGATTGGTTTTGTTTAATTTCTAATTTTACGATAAAAATTTGCATAAAATTAAAAATATTTCTATTAAATACACGTAAAATACATAATATCTCAAAGTTTAGTGCTTTTTTTTTCAAGGTTTGCAGATTCACGTTTGACTCCAATAACTGCATACACATCATCACTACAACACAAAAAACAGTACTCAAATTGACAATGCCACAATTTTTGGACATGTAAGTTATTTAGTATATCGATTTTTTCAAAACCTTTGGTATAATATTTCATTAAAAACCATTATATACTTATTATATATTTTTTCATCCTTCTTATAACAAACTGATTCATACCTTGAGCANCAGACAGAAGGAGAGGGGGAAGGTGAAGAGAAGGGGCATGACTGTTTGTTCTCGGCCAATTTGTGAATAACAGAGAGAAGAGAGAGAGAGAGTAATGGCTGACAGAGAGTAAACAGGGGAGAGAGACGACTGAACAATAGAGGGGAGAGAGGGTAACACCTGAGAANGAGACAGAAGGAGAGGGGGAAGGTGAAGAGAAGGGGCATGACTGTTTGTTCTCGGCCAATTTTGTGAATAACAGAGAGAAGAGAGAGAGAGAGTAATGGCTGACAGAGAGTAAACAGGGGAGAGAGAGATGTAATTGGTTTAGTGCGCCGAATTATGGATAAACAGGGGAGAGAGACGACTGAACAATAGAGGGGAGAGAGGGTAACACCTGAGAATCGGAAAGATTTTGGGCCGAGGTGATTTAGGTTTATTACGGTATTAAACATGGAGGATAAGTATGACTTATTTGTATTGTTGAGGGTAAAAATAGAAATAAAATTTTTTTAAGGTATACACACTCTTTAGAGTAGTATAGATACATATATATATAGATCGATTAACTTGTGTTAATAAATTTTTAACCAAATAGCAAGTGGATTTGTNGTTTTTAAGGTATACTCGCTCTTTAGAGTAGTATAGATATAGATATAGATCGATTAACTTGTGTTAATAAATTTTTAACCAAATAGCAAGTGGATTTGTAAAGGAAATAGCCAGATTTTTATATCAAATGCCACTAAACTGCCAAGTAAAATGCACAATTATGTTGTTATGTTAGGAGTGGCGTCGCACATGTCGCTCTCCACCTCATCATCTTCCTTATTCAAAAACACTTCAAACATTAGTGTGATGCAATCAATCAACATTAGTGTGATTCATCCAATCTATTTTAATTATTGTGTATGTGATAATTTAAATAATTTCTCACAGAATTACACCTCACCAAAATTATTCACTGCTTGACCAATTTGTTGTTTTACCAAGTTAGTAGTAATGAATTTATTCTTTTTAATTCATATTACAAATTTATTGCGTAATTTCTTTAAATATTTGTTATGTTTAATTATTGTTTGTTTTAGTTGTGAATGCTTTGACATGATTTTATTATTATTAAATGTTATGTGTTAAATTTGTATTACTATTTTCTGATTGTAAACCAAAACCCAAGCTAATCACCAATAAAAAAAAAGTGATACCAATTATACCAAAAAAAATAATATTCAAAATCAATGTAATCGTCATCACCACTTCCACACAAATAAAAAGTATTAATATACAATCCATAAATAAAATCATAAAGTTATTATTCATACCAAAATTAAATCACTACTGCATGAAAATCTGTAGTCCTCAAAAAAGAAAAAAAAAAGTGACCAATAAAAAATAACAACTATTACCAATTACACAAAAAAAAAAAAAATCAAAACCAATCTAATCGTCATCACCACTTTCACACAAACAAAAAGTACAAATATCTAATCCATAAGTAAAACCTTCGAACAATTATTCATACCTAATCACCACTTTGCTCAGAATTACATGAAAACCTAAAGTTCTAAAAAATTTAATTTTTATTGAAAGTGAACAAAACATATTGTTGATTGTCATAAATGATTAGTTAAAAAAATATTTATTACAAATTTTGTTAATGACAAAGTATCTCATTATTTCATGTTGATTATTTTTTATGTTTAATTTTTATAATTAGGTAGTTATCGAATATTTTATGTTTAATTTTTATAACTGTGCAGTTAACAAATGTTTAACATTTATGCGTGTTTACAAATATTGATGATTTTTTCGTGTTGGTTTAGTGGTGTATGCTTTGGCAATAGTTTATTGTTTTCAATTTTTAATGTTCGTGTGGTTTAGTTGTGGATGTATTGTCATAACTGGTTGTTGGTAAATGTTATATGTTAAAAGTGTATTGTTTGTACCTTGATTTAGATTGGTTTTGTTTAATTTCTAATTTTACGATAAAAATTTGCATAAAATTAAAAATATTTCTATTAAATACACGTAAAATACATAATATCTCAAAGTTTAGTGCTTTTTTTTTCAAGGTTTGCAGATTCACGTTTGACTCCAATAACTGCATACACATCATCACTACAACACAAAAAACAGTACTCAAATTGACAATGCCACAATTTTTGGACATGTAAGTTATTTAGTATATCGATTTTTTCAAAACCTTTGGTATAATATTTCATTAAAAACCATTATATACTTATTATATATTTTTTCATC